TTCCTTCCTTCCCTCCCTCCCTCCCTCCCTCCCTCCCTCCCTCCTTTTTTGAATCAGGGCCTTGCTCTGTTATTCAAGCTGGAATGCAGTGGCACGATCACAATTCCCTGAAGCCTTGGCTTCTATGCTCAAGTGATCATACCACCTCAACCTTCTGAGGAGCTAGGACTACAGGTGTGTGTCACCACACCTGGCTATTTAAAATATTTTTTTTGTAGAGACAAGGTCTTGCTATGTTGTCCAGACTGAGTTTACCCATTTCATAAAGGTATTACAGACACAGTATTTGATTTTCTTATAAACCTCAAGAGATTTTTAAAAGTTAAATCTGAAATTCCTTATTAAATTCCAGCAAAGCCAACTTTAAAAGAGCCTATATAGCAATCACTATTTTTTCTACACTTTATGCAAACAGGTCAAGTGTAGTAAGACTAAACTTATTTTGTACATAAATTGGCCTCACTATGATTTCTCCTTGTTAGAAGTGGAGTACTGGAGAGAGAAAAGCTATGTTTCAGAAGGAAACCACTAGTACATCTGTTATTAGGTTCTGGCTCTTTTTTTATTTTTATTTTTTTTTGGTTGTTATTATTTACCTGCAATCTTAACTAAATCCTAAATTTCTAGTTTCTTCAAATATGTGATTGTGATTCTGCAGCTTAACATTTCTAATTTTTCTTACTCTCTTCTGACTTAGAAATTAAAACTGTGCTTTCCTTAAAGCTCTACAAATGGAAAGTAGGCAATTTGATAAAAACCTCAGAAGAAATCACTAAAGCCTTCTCTCTATCTATCTGTCTTTTTTTTTTTTTTTTTTGAGATGGAGCTTTTCTCTTGTTGCCCAGGCTGGAGTGCAATGGCATGATCTCAGCTCACTGCAACCTCCGCCTCCTGGGTTCACATGATTCTCTTGCCTCCACCTCCCTAGGAGCTAGGATTATGGGCATGTGGGCATGTGCCACCATGCCCAGCTAATTTTGTATTTTTAGTAGAGACAGGGTTTCTCCATGTGGTCAGGCTGGTCTCCTGACCTCAGGTGATCTGCCCACCTCAGCCTCTCAAAGTGCTGGGACTACAGGCATGAGCCACTGTGTCTGTCTGTCTATGATCTATCTATCTATCTGTCTGTCTGTCTGTCTGTCTGTCTGTCTGTCTATCTTTGGCCATCATGCCTATTGATATATGGACTACTCAGAAGGTTCACTAGAACAATGAAGTACAATCTACAAAAATCCGTCAGATTGCCACACCTACCCAATCCAACTGAAAGTGTTTCAGAGACTCGAGAAAAACTACTTTATAGACCACTCTAGATGTTACCCTTAGTGTTTCCTTTGTTTCCATAGACATGCCTCTTACTAAACATCTGTTTGCCTGCATCGTATATACATGCTTGGCTTTGAGGTCCTATCTGCAATGCTGCCTCCTGGAATGGGGCACTACTGTTTAACTGAACCAACTTATAAGAGACTTATTGAAGGAGATATCGGTTGCTTGGTCTAGGGTTTGCTTTTCCCCATTCCCCTTTGCCAGTCTCTTATCTCACAACTGCTGATCCAAATCTCTTCTTAGCTACCAGTCCTACTTAATATGTGAAACTTTCTAAACATGAAGATTCAAATGGGGGAGTAAAGAAAACCCAAACTGTTCTGCACCAAAATATACTTCTTGGACCTATTTTGAGATGGTTATTCAGAGGGCATGCAGACAGGAATAGCCCTGAAAAGCTGCCTTTTGTGGAGGAGATGGAGGAGATTTGCATCTGTGAAGAAAAAACCACATTAGTGAAATAATAAATCCAGGCTTTCTCTGTGGCTCTCGCCCTTACCCAGATCTAAAAAAGATTAACTCAGACACAGGCTACCATTTGTTCTTTTGGAGAGCTGCTACTTGGGAGGTTTTATCTGTATAATAAGATTGCCTTTGTCCCACGCTTTGTTTCTCTCTCCTTCCCATTACCTGTCTTGGGAGGCTCTAACCCCCTAAACTCATGGCATAAAAGCATCAATCAACTGGTCCTTTCTTTGAGTTTTTACATTTTGTGTGACTCTTGTGCACATGCGTGTGCATTAATAAATTTTGTTTGGCTTTTTTTCTATTAATCTGCCTTTTGCTAGTTGATTTTCTGTGAACCTGTAGGGGACAAAGGGGGAGTTTTCTCTTGGTCCCTACAGCAATCACACTGTTCCTTAGCAGACAACTGCATGAGCACTCTTAGAGATATCCAAACATGATCATAAAAGCACCAGTAAGAGGGGAAAATAGTCATTTTGTCGTTGGCATTTGCAAATGAAAAATGTTATTAAAGACAATAAATTTTTTTACGATAGCCTATATATTTTCAACAGTAATCTTGTTTTTAATGAGATGACTTTGTTTTGATTTTGTATTTTATCATTTTTATTGTTGTTTTATGTTGTTGTTACTGTTTGTATTACTGCTTTTGAAGATTCTGAATGCCGTATTAATTATTTTGGTAGAATTTATCATCAAAAGCTAATTGCTCTTATTCAAAATGCACTGTTGTGTTTTGCTCTGGAAAGGAATACTTTAAAAAGGCTCAGCAAATTTTTGAAGACAGTTTACTTCCAGCCACTCAAAATGTGTTGTCACATTTGTGACCTCCTCTGACAGGATTAAAACCTCTACATAGACAAAATAAATAGAAACATGCCTCTCTTCTTGAATAATTTGCATTTTAATTAACAAATAATTGTTTCCTGATTATAAAAATAATGCAACTTAATTTGTTATAGAAACTGAAAACCAGAGAACACACACACATACAAAGTAAAAATCCTCTATAATAGCACTACCCAGCACTGTAGATATTTTGGCATACATCTGGTGAGTATCAAATACAGCATTTAGAACACTAATATTCTGTTATTGCATACTTTTTAGTGGTTGCAAATAGTTTAAAAACATAAATGGATCAACTTTTTAAAAGCAGTTTCTATTTTTTTACATTACCTTGTTTAGTTTATTTTTTTCAGACCTACCCAAGAACACACTTTAGTTTTTATAGATACTTTCATATAAAAATAGGAATGTTTATAGTTTTTAAAGGGTAACTTAGAATACATTCTTAGAAGTGCAAATGTTGGGTCAAAGAGTTCATGGATGTTTTCATTCTTTGATAAGTGTTGAGTAACTATGTTATAGAAAATGTGTAACATTTTGCACATTCACTTGCAATGTTTAAGAAAGCACATTTTCTAACACCGTCCACAATCTTAGGTATTGTCATTAAAAAGAGAGAGAGAGAGAGAAAGAGAAACTTGCAGTTAGATAAACAAATAATGCAGTTATTAATAAGGATGGGAAGAGTTTTCATAAGTTTATTTGGCAAATGCATTTTTCTTTTAGTCCTTTGCCCCTTTTCTGTTGTATGTAATTTTTAAAAATTTTAATTAATTAATTTTTTTAGCTATTAAGAATACTAATTCTTGTACACTGTTAGTGGGAATATAGATTCCCAACAATCATTATGAGAAACAGTATGGAGGTTTCTAGAGAAATGAAAAACAACTACCATATGACTCAGCAATCCCTCTTGTAGGCATGTACTCAAACGAAATGAAATCACCACCTCATAAAGATATCTAAACTGCCATGTTGATTGCAACATTACTGACAATAGCTAAAATATAAAAACAACCTAAGTGTCCATCAATAGATGAATGGATAAAGACATTATGGTATGTCTATTCAATGGAATATTATTCAGCTCTGAAAAAAATGAGATCTTGCCATTTACCACAATGTGATGAACCTGAAGGATATTATGCTAAGTGAAATAAGCCAGGCTGAGAGACAAATATTACATGATCTCACTCATCTGTGGAATCTAAAAAATAAAAATTCAAATATACAGAGATAGAGAACAAAATAGTGATTATTATGGGTGGGGAAGAAATGGGGAGATGTAGGTCAGAGGATACAAAGTAACAGATATATAGGATAAGCACATCTAGAAACCTAATATACAACATGACTATAGTTAATAAAATTGTACTGTATTTGGAATTAATGCTAAATAAATAGATTTTAGCTGCCCTTGCTATAAAAACAAACAAAAATTGGTAACTATGTGAGATGATGAATATATTAATTTGCTTCATTACATATTCCTCATCACACATAGTTTTCTATTTTTTCCTGGGTATCCCATAACATCACATTGTATATCTTAAATATATTAGTACAATTTATTTTAAAAAAGAATAGTTACTGTCCTACATATTAAAAATACAGCTTCCAGTTTAACTTTATTTTTACTTTGTTTGCCTATATGTAGCTTATATTTTTTCTTTTTCTTTTTTGAGATGGAATCTTGCTCCATCTCCCAGGCTGGAGTGCAATGGCATGATCTCTGCTCCCTATAGTCTCTGCCTCCCAGGTTCAAGTGATTTTTCTGCCTCAGCCTCCTTAGTAGTTGGGACTACAGGCATGCACCACCATGCCTGGCTAATTTTTTTGTGTTTTTAGTAGAGACAGGATTTCACCATGTCAGTCAGGTTCATCTTGATCTCCCGACCTCAAGTGCCCACATCAGCCTCCCAAAGTGTTGGGATTACAGGTGTAAGCCACCGCACCAGGCCCATTTTTCTTTAACATGATGCATCCATTTTTTTCTTTATTGTTTCTTCTTTGTCTTTGAGTTTGAATATTTTCACTTTACTTGAGGCCAGAGTTTTCTCTTGGAAATTTTGGGCTCGAGCCAGTAAGTAGGGCAGCATTTTTGGCTTGTGAAAGGAGGTGAGCAGAGAGTGCACTGACCTTTCCTGATTCATAACCTGGCTCCAAAGGGGTTATTGTCCATCTACAGACTTTGACATAGTATTAAAAAATTAGTACCTTACAGTTTTTCATTAAGCTGTTTTAATAGTCCTTAATGTTTTTGCCAAGAATATCATGCCAAATCTCAAAATTGTAGGATAATCATGTATTGGAGAGAACATATATTCTGGAGTCAGATAAACATAACTGAGCTGGAATTTTAGTTCTTCTACTTACTAGTTGGTGATTTTGGGTAATTTATGTAAATTTACAGTCACAGTTTCTTTCTCTGAGAAATGAAATTGATAATACTTGCCTCATCAGGTAATCATGATGTATTGGCACGCATTTTTCTTCTTCCTTTCTCTTTTCTTTCTTTCTGTCCTCTTCTTCTCTCCCTTGCCCCATGCCCCACCTTTTCTGTATATTTCTGTTGCATTAGTAAATAAGTGACTAATACTTTAGTCTTAGAAGTTATTCAGTAGATGAAAGTTTCTTATTAATCTTTTAGGTAATAGTAATATTTCGGGTTTCTATCTGAAATTCTTTTCAGTGCATCCAAGATTATATTTCTTTGTTTTTTTTAGGACTAACATGTTACCTTTCTCTTATACTCACTGAAGTAAATCACTTGGCATTTTATTCCTGTCGCCTTGGCTTATTCATACTCCAAGGATCTTTGTTTATATGCAAATATGAGGCTTTTTGAAGCATTCACTCTTCATGTAATTTATAAAAACATTAAATATAGAACCCATCAATATCCTGGAGAGGTGCTGCCTAGATATTGTCTTTTGTCCAGGGCAATTATTATTTTTCTGAAATGAAGTAGGCAGAGAGTATTAGAGCCACTTTCTGGGGTATCTTCTCAATGCACAAATGATTTTTTTTTTTGTCCTTCTGAATTGACGTTTTTTTTTTTTTTAAAAATATATGTTATTGCACTTTAGGTCCTGGGGTACTTGTGAAGAACATGCAGGATTGTTGCGTAGGTATACACATGGCAGTGTGGTTTGCTGCCTCCATCCCCATTACCTACATCTGGCATTTTTTCCCATGTTGTCCCACCCCAACTCCCTACCCACCACTGTCACTCCCCTAGTCACCCCCAACAGACCCCAGCGTGTGATGCTCCCTTCCCTGTGTCCATGCGTTCTTACTGTTTAACACCCGCCTATGAGTGAGAACATGTGGTGTTTGATTTTCTGTTTTGTCAGTTTGCTGAGAATGATCTTTTCCAGGTTCATCCATGTCCCTACAAAGGACACAAACTCATTGTTTTTTATGGCTGCATAGTATTCCATGGTGTATTTGTGCCAAATTGTCCCTGTCAAGTCTATCATTGATGGGCATTTGGGTTGGTTGCAGGACTTTGCTATTGTAAACAGTGCTGCAATGAACATACATGTGCATGTGTCTTTATAATAGAATGATTTATAATCTTTTGGATATATACCCAGTAATGGGATTGCTGGTTCAAAGGGAATTTCTATTTCTAGGTCCTTGAGGAAGCGTCACACTGTCTTCCACAACGGTTAAACTAGTTTACACTCTCACCAACAGTGCAAAAGTGTTCCTGTTTCTCCACATCCTCTCCAGCATCTGCTGTCTCCAGATTTTTTAATGATTGCCATTCTGACTGGTGTGAGATGGTATCTCAGTGTGGTTTCGATTTGCATTTCTCTAATGACCAGTGATAATGAGCATTTTTTCATATGTTTGTTGGCTTCATATATGTCGTCTTTTGAAAAGTGTCTGTTCATATCCTTCACCCACTTTCAAATGGGTTTGTTTGTTTTTTTTTTTCTTGTAAATCTGTTTTAGTTCTTTGTAAATTCTGGATATAAGTCCTTTGTCAGATGGGTAGATTGCAAAAATTTTTTCCCATTCTGTTGGTTGCTGGTTCACTCTAATGATTGTTTCTTTTGCTGTACAGAAGCTGTGGAGTTTAATTAGGTCCCATTTGTCTATTTTGACTTTTGTTGACAATGTTTTTGGTGTTTTAGTCATGAAGTCCTTGCCTATGCCTATGTCCTGAATGGTTTTGCCTAGATTTTCTTCTAGGGTTTTTAAGGTGTTAGGTCTTATGTTTAAGTCTTTAAGCCATCCAGAGTTAATTTTAGTGTAGCATGTCAGGAGGGGGTCCAGTTTCTGCTTCCTGCACATGGCTAGCCAGTTTTCCCATCGCCATTTATTAAACAGGGAATCCTTTCCCCATTGCTTGTTTTTGTTAGGTTTGTCAAAGATGAGATGATTATAGATGTCTGGCATTTCCTCTGAGGCCTCTGTTCTGCTCCATTGGTCTTTTTCTCTGTTTTGGTACCAGTACTATGCTGTTTTGATTACTGCGGCCTTGTAGTATAGTTTGAAGTCACATAGCGTGATGCCTCCAGCTTTGTTCTTTTTGCTTAGAATTGACTTGACTATGCAGGTTCTTTTTTGTTCCATACGAAGTTTAAAGTGGTTTTTTCCAGTTCTGCGAAAATGGTCGTAGGTAGCCTGATGGGGATAGTGATGAATCTATAAATTATTTTGGGCAGTATGGCCATTTTCACAATATTGATTCTTCCAAACCATAAGCATGGAATGTTCCTCCATTTGTTTGTGTCCTCTCTTATTTCCTTGAGCAGTGGTTTGTAGTTCTCTTTGAAGAGGTCCTTTACATCCTTGGTTAGTTGTATTCCTAGGTATTTTATTCTCTTTGTAGCAATTGTGAATGGCATTTCATTCTTGATTTGGCTCTCTTTAAGTCTGTTGTTGGTGTATAGGAATGCTTGTGATTTCTGCACATTGATTTTGTATCCTGAGACTTTGCTGAAGTTGCTTATCAGTTTAAGGAGCTTTTGGGCTGAGACAGTGGGGTCTTCTAAATATACAATCATGTCATCTGCAAATAGAGACAATTTGACTTTCTTCTTTCCTAATTGAATACCATTTATTTCTTTTTCTTGCCTGATTGCTCTGGCTAGAACGTTCAATACTATATTGAATAGGAGTGGTGAGAGAGGGCATCCTTGTCTAGTGTCAGGTTTCAAAGGGAATGCTTCCAGTTTTTGCCCATTCGGTATGATATTGGCTGTGGGTTTGTCATAAATAGCTTTTATTGTTTTGAGACACATTCCATCAATACGTAGTTTATTGAGGGTTTTTAGCATAAAGGGCTGTTGAATTTTGTCAAAGGCCTTCTCTGCGTCTATTGAGATAATCACGTAGTTTTTGTATTTG